TAATACACACTCTCTTTCTCTCTGGCTGTTTCGTCACGCACAATCAGTGACCGGATCCTTTCGTCTCTGCTAACCCACAAACAGTCCACGAGTTTCACCGGCTCGAACTTCACTTCAAATCGGAACCAAGCCAGGAAGTAGCTACCTCAGCATCTAAGAGAGAGAACCTCAAACCTAAATTGCAGCATCATACAAGAAGAATCAAGAAGGAGCTTTTTCCCGTCTCTATTTGTCAGGCTGGTCGAAAACTAACTGTCCCTCTTTTTGCGCCCCCCCCCCCCCCCCCCCCCCCCCCCCCCCCCCCCCCCCCCCCCCCCCCCCCCCCCCCCCCCCCCCCCCCCCCCCCCCCCCCCCCCCCCCCCCCCCCCCCCCCCCCCCCCCCCCCCCCCCCCCCCCCCCCCCCCCCCCCCCCCCCCCCCCCCCCCCCCCCCCCCCCACAGTCCGAGTTCACCCGAACTCTGTGGATCGCCCCCCTTCTCGGCCCGGTCTTCGTTCTCCGTTTCATTCTCGCTCACCGGTAATCATCCTTGCGACGCATAACTACTTGATGCTTTCGGGGGGCGCGCCGATCTTTCCTGAGTCCATCGGTCCTCGTGGGCATTATATCGGCGGCTTTCCGGCCCCCTCTATGATCCTTATGGAACGAGTCGTCCCGCGGATGCCGTGTTACACTATATATGTATAGATAAAAAATTAGAAAATTTCATACACTCGTTCGATATAATCGAAATCGATTAATCACTTGACAGTTAACGATTCTCCGATCTCCATACAATGGTACAGCTGAAACGAGCTGTATAAATTGGGGTTTCGGGGAATCGACAAGATAAATGACTACGAAATTTTTATTGTTCGTAATGTCAGCGTGATCAAAGTTTTCCGTTCGTCCATTTGCTGTTTCTTTACGACCTGTTTATTATGGAATTTCTTTCGAGCATCAACCGTGTGTAGATCTTTTCAGTGACACTGTGTTTATAATTCATATAGATTAAAATCAGGTAAGATACATGACACTTCGGACAGATGAAAGATCGTAGACCAATATCATGAGTGTAGGATAATGTAGGCGATTAAATTTGTCAGAGAATATTGAATTTGTGGACTTTGTTCTTTTCGATAAGAATATAACGGGTGTCCATGTGCATTACCGACCGCGCAGAGGAACGTCCGTTAACACTGAGTCACGCTCGCCACTGCGACATTCAGTAAGCTTTAGTTTGCGTCGAGACGTCGAGTCGTGAGGACGTTTCTTGAAGGGTATCGTTACGCTTAGCCCTTAGAGAACAAAAGAAATCTTATATTTTTTCGTACTCGTGTGTCAGGCAGCGAATTTTAGTTTACTATTATATAAAAAGACTTTAACTGAGTGATTTCTTTACGAACGCTGTGAAATTGGTAGAAAAAAGAAGCGGACGATTCCAGTTCGAAAAAATCTCGTTGTCGACAATGAACATTTTTCGTTATGCTCGATAGATCGTAGATCGTAAAAAATTCCTCACGCAAAGTGTGCAGATTTGTTTTTCATCTTGGAGAGAGAAAAAATGTAAGACTTACCATAGGAAATGTTTTCTTGTTTTTCTTCACTATCTTTCTCTCGTTGATCGCCGATTTAGTAGATACTTGAGCAAATTTCTGAACCTCTCTTTGGACGTGCCTTTGCTGCTTTGTTACTAACTGGCGAAGAGAGAGTCGTCGCTCATATACATAGATAAATACTTCGGGAAATCGTTGAATGGAAACCTTTGCATGGATGTTTTTATTTATGATTCTGTTAATTGTTTCTTTTCAAATCGTAATCGAACACTGATTTTATACCTCTTTCGTTGTTTATTATTTCAATTTTCTCTGCCGTAATAAAGTTATTGTTACCTCAATTGATTATTCGGAGTAAGTGATGAAGTTCGCTCAGATCGACTACGCATGAGGATCGTTGAGATTTTTTTTGTTGTTGATACAAAAATTTTCTCACTCAAAGTTGAAAGATACAATATTTGGAGTGTTTTATCTTGCAGGCAGTGAGACAAAGCTGTCGGCGATACCTACGAGCAAAGATCGTTAACCTACGTTCACGCAAGACAAAACAAAAGTGCATTAACACCCATCCCCAGTTGAATTAACCACTGACCTAACCGTTGCTTCGCGAGTCGAAGGTCGTGATATAGGCATTATTGAACAAAGAGAATAGAAAGTCATTGGGCAATAACAAAGTGATAAAGATGACGTTCGAGGGTAACAGTTCGAAGGACGACGATTCGAATGGGATTTTATTGCAACCCAGGAAAGGCTCGACAGTTCGGCTGCAGATCGTTCCGGCACAACCGAAGACGATAACGCATCTGCCGAAAAGGCCGCCGGTGGACCTGGCGTTCACAGACCTAACCTACAAAGTGCGAGAGGGTCGCAAAAACAGTGAGTAATTAAAAGTCTATATGATAAGTTATTTATTATTTATATAACTCTGGTGCCCATGTGTGTCGAGCATTAGAAATTTCACTCGCGAACGCACTTGAACCTACGCCGCGGCAATTCGAATGTCACAAATTGCTCAATCGTGATTCGAATTTACGTTTCGAGGAATGTTAACGATCCCGATAGATCATTCTTTCCTAGGTGGAATTGATCGATCAAGGACGATCGTTCCTTTGATTATCTGTGGGAACAGGCGAGATAAAATTATACGTTAAAATTGTAAAATGAAAAATTAAATAAAAAAAAGTACATATAACGTATAAAATAGAATTTTTTTTCGATGACAATCGATAGTTTGCTTAATGGATCGGAACGAACAAACTTTTCTTTACGTTTGATTTATTTTTTTTCGAATAAGGAACTGGTTTTCGATGACATTGACCACGGAGTGAAAGTAATCGCATTACGCTCGACCACGAATACGATTTCATGGCGTCCCATGTACATCCTACAAGTACCACCACAAAAAAAAATCGTCCGATACTCTTGTATATGTCAAACAAAACAAAAGATTTGCCGCGAATGTCAATTTTAAAATTACCGTTACGGTTGCGGGTGCACGGTACCGCGCATGCGCGCACGACGTACTACGTAAGTCATAAAGTTTCCGCGACAAGCATACTTTGATGTGGCCGTTCACCATTCTTGTTGGATTTCTCAAGCGCTAGAGGGATTAACGACCGAGGTTTTGCAAGAAGACCGGTTACGAGATAATGTGCTCTAAGATATATTCCTAGATAAAACGATATCTCGCAGTCGCTGCTATTAACCTTCCCACAATGCCTTGTCAATGACTGACCGCGCGGTTCGTGGGCTTAAAATGTGCAAGTTACTCGAACGAACGGTTTTGTTAGTTTCGGCGTATGATAATATGGAAATACTCGTAATGTCACTGATCGTAAAAACAAAATATATCGATAAACTTTCCCCACACACGCGCTCGTTTTCGCTTTTTGTCACTTGCTTGCTCGCTTATCGTGCTTGAAAATATGTGCGTTCCTTCGTAAATAACGATATCCTTTGTTCGGCACCTCGTGACCGCTCTAAACTCTCATTTGGGATTACTCATCAATTGTTCTCACACGAAGGAAGACACTGGGCTTCAAGTCCGAATGATACGACAGGAGAATAAAACGTGCGTATCTCGACAAAGTCATTTTCTTTGGTATAAGACAGATGTTAGGTTAGGTTAAGTCAGCTGTACGACGCGTATCTTTCATATTGCAATTGACGTAACGCGTGCACGTTACTTTGATATTTTTTTTAAAAATCGATAGCTCAAGTCATCGGCGAAGATTGTGTTCATTATCGATAATCTGACATTGAAATTCCTTGCTGGGCATTTTTGTCCTCTTTTGAGCTCCTTTATGATAAGCGGCCTTGAAATTTCGCTCGGACCGTCGTACTTTATTCGTTTCTCGTAACGATCCTCACGATATACATTCTCTGTCTATGGGCATAGTGAAAATCGGCTACCTTGAAACCGACGCACGAGCGTACAATTTTATTACGAGTTATCGCAATCCTGTATTACTCATACCTCCCGAATGTTACGTGTGGGTCAGGTTATGGTGGACTTCATAATTGTCCACGAGGACAATAAAATTTAACGAGTATCCGATTAACAAACTTGCTCCTCGACTTGTTTAGCCAACAATTGAGAACCCTGACCGCGTTCAATCTCAAAGTTACAATGTTTTTCGGTGGATGAGATTGAGGGCTTTTTCTTGAAACATATTTTATCAATTTTATCGGCTAAAGGATATAAACATTTTGTCCCGATCTTATCAGAATAAGTTGCAACAGGTATTCGAAGCAGTGATCATACTTTTTAATATTAAATTCGAACGCGTCATTGAACGTACGAAATCGTTATGGTCGAGCGTACGATCAATCGTACAAAATTGGAAAGGTTCGTGACTTACAGAATTGCCACGCTTTAGCATCTCTCGCTAACTAACTCAGTAATCGGGTATAGAAAGTTGTGACGGCAATTTTTGCAACTCTACTTGCGCAATTACACGCTCTCCGGCGGTGGGCCTCTTCCAGACTAGAGCCATTTCTAATCGAAATAGACTTCGAAAAATACGAGTAATATCATACGAGAGCAATCGCTTCCAGTTGCACCTATATGTGTATATATATATATATAGTATCACGTCGATTGCATTCAGAGACAATATTCTCTGTTCCCCATGTACATCCGGTATGTTCGCATAAGCTGCAGGTATCGTACACTGCAATTGCAATTACTTGAATAGCGTTCGAGCTCCGGATAATTATTAACACGGAATGCAACGAAGGACGGCGTAATATATATATATATACACGCAGAATTATTCACTAGAAACGCACCGCCTGAAGTTAGCGCGCCCATTTGAGTCTTATGGTTCAGATAGTTCATTTCGGCTGAATAACCTGATTTCTGTATATATATATATATATGTAGTATACAGCATGTACATTCGGACGTCATTGAGTTAGAAACGCAAAATTTTTATTTAATAGAATTCATAATGGAGTCGATGACGTGCACCCCCCCCCCCCCCC